GTTCAGTCGGATTCGCCCACTGTTGGATGAACGAATTCACAAAGAATATTCAATAAAAGCGCAAAAAACAGTTACCACAGCCAATGAACCGGTAAAATTTATAGATGTCGCCTCGTGGTTAATGTTCCAAGTGACTTTTTTTTTTAATTCAGCTTAAAGCTCCACAAGGGGGAGGTCTGGCGGGAAAAGTTGAGGCTGTGAAGTCTGAATGCAATAATTCACGGCATTTACTACATGGAGATCCACAGAAGCTTAACATAGGATTAAGTAAATCACCAGGATTACCAAAACGAGGAATGCCGAGACCGCCTGACAATCGTATTGGGTATATCCCATGTTAATTATGTTATTGAAATATCCCGTTATAAGCATATCCCACTATCGTACCTTTATCCGCTAGGCATAGCTGTGTTACGCCCTTCGATTCTGGGACACATAGCTCCAGTTAGTGCTTACCTTCTTTATTCGATGGATATGCCTCTCGCTGTTACTATTTACTAATACGGCACATCTATCAGTTGTCAACAAGGCAAACGACAGGCTCAGTTCGTCGGATTTTACTTTCTCACGCGGCAATAATTCCTGCATATTGCGCAGTAGATTTTTAACTTTTATTGCTTTATAAAACATGGTCAGACTTATAGATAGATCCAGGACGGACTGTTTAAGAGGAGGGGACGACGGAGAGCAGGGAGGGGAGTCCTCTCCCTTCTTAGAGCTATGCAAAACCAGGAATAGAGTTGTAACACTGCTACTTAGAGTTACTTGCTTTAGTTTGAGCCCTAGTCCAGGGCTTTTGCAGCACTGATGCCTGTTCCGCTGGGAGGAGACCTTTCACCCCTCCTCCGACTCCTCAGCCCGTGAATCCATGTTGTTCAGACTGAACTCTTTTAGGATTATGAATACCCGAAAAATTAATTTAACACCTAAAAACTAATTATCTCTTTTTACGGAGCCCTGTGTAATTTGTGAAGTATTATTAATACTTATGTTGAAAATTCGGATTTGCATCTTTTTAAAAATCTGGATAGCTTCCATTTCACTGCTTTTTTTCATCCGTGCAATCACTTTCTTTCTTTTGCGCTTTCTAAATACATGTCACAGCTCTGTAGACATATCTTTGATTCGTTTGATCTCACTGAGGCCTAACTTTTCGCAATTCATTTGTTAAAATAATGTTTGAAACAGTGGAAAAATAAGATCAAAAGTGAAACTACCTCTCCAGACAAAAATGCTATATTTTTATGCGTTTTATGCTGTGTAACAGCAGTAGAAAACGCATATTGTCACAAGATTGTCTGTTGTCCGCAGCAACTTGTCCGCAACTTTCAATTCGGGAACCACAAAAGCTAGGAAGCTTAAAATTTAGGGGAACATTCCTCACCCACGTGTGGTCCCGCAAATTTAAATTCAGGTTCTCCGTACCCTTCAAGGTTTCGAATTCAGCTTTCATGCGCTGGTGCGTGAAATTTTTAATTATTTTCCAATTCTTGAACTATTTTTGCTTAGAA